TTATCCACTTGCTCTTCACGAATACAAAGACCAAACAAAACAAAAGAGAAAAAGCGTTTACTGCATTTGTTTATTAAACCTACCTTCATTGTATCCTAGTTAGACATCAATTTGTTTTTAACCGAGCCACACGTTCCCCAAGGGATCCAGCATTTTTATTTATTTTTTTTCCAGTTGCATAAATTAGATGCTCTTTTTAAAAATAAATTAATTAATAAATTAAATAAAAAAAATTTGCAATCCCAGCTCTTGCCATGGCACTCGTTGAGAAAAATGTGTTTTCATTTAAAGGAAAGTGGGCTGTATGTATATGGCAACCATCAATTTAAAATTATTATGAAACAGTCATATGCACAATGGTACAAACACAATTGGTTCCGGTGAATATTACATGAATCTGAGGCTAATTTTATGTGTGTACTTGTGGTAAGGTCCAGCCTTTTTACATATTAGAGAATGAAGCCCACCACTGATGCTGTAGTGTAGTTTTGATACTAGCAGCAGCTGCAGGAAATGTATATCTGCAGTTTGTTTGTAATAGTTTGCTTGTTTTTTGTGTTTATTTGTATCAAATTCATGCAATCAAAATTCAAAATAGTTTATCTTTTTAAATATACGTGAATTAGACGTGGCTGTAAAGTTGTTATCTTGGGGGCATAGAGGAGAGGCACTTAATCCACCCATTTCACATAGACTTCCTTTTGGAATAACTTGCATCATTGATTGTTTTTCTTCAGGAAACTGGGTACCTTTGGCTTCCAGACAGATGCTGTTTCTGTTGAGTTAACTGTGGCTTGTTCCTGTGTTTTGTTTTGGGGATTGTTTGTTTTTTAAATATAAACACATGTAGTTTTAGCAAGCTCTTGCCATCAACTATATTTTAGCAAACATGGGTATGCCTGCTTATTAGGGCCAGACAGATGTTTAAGATATTTAAGACTGATATTGATATTTGTTGATTTAAAAAAAAAAAACAAATATCAATACCAACATGCCCTTGCGTTGACAAATCCTGTAACATTATAACTTATAACATATTTTGAGGGTGTTTCTCCCATCTATTCTTTACTTTCATTTTTAAAGACTGCTACAATGCATTGGCAAATCAGTAATATCAGGCAGCAGACTGCTTATATCTGCCTAAACTGTTTTACATTTAAACTAATATTGTAATTTGGCCTGAGTCAGAATTTATGTAATTAATGGCCACACTTGACTTAGACTGAATCATAATAATCTTTGTATAGCCCTGGTGTAAATAACAACCCAACTTTCAAGTTAGTTTCAATGTTACGAAAAGTCATTGCAAAGCAATGCTCTTTCAGGTCAGGGGGTGGCAGTAAATAACCACTGTTAAAAAGCCATTGGGACAATGAATGCATATCATATTTAGGAATCTAAATAAATAATTATTTAAATTAAATCAATGGGAACCAGAAGGAAAAAACTTTTTGCTTTGTCTCCGGTTTATATTTTTGTTATTGTTTTTAACAGTTTCTTAGAGTTAAAAAAAAAAATGCATCAGATAATATTAAATGTGATGCTTGCTATTTTAGCAGGATTGTGTGGGACATCATCTTATTTGAATAGCTTTTCATGCTATCTGATGTCAGCTTTTTAACTGTTAAGAATATACTTAAACCATTATTTTGGGCAAGCATGTACTTAAGCCACATCACTGTCAAGTCTATTGTTGTATGAAAAATAATCTCCTGCCACTTATTGTCTATCCTCAGTTGATACAATGGAGCATGAGTTGAGGAACATCAGTGAGGTGTTTTTAATTAATTTTATTAATTTTTTTTTGTGCGTGCATGGCTGGCTGTTGTGTACAGTCAGAGACACTGAATTGTTCTGTTTTAGCTCACTATGAACTGTTACTCCTGTTGACCTTTAGCTATCCCACAGATTGGGTGCTATATCAAGCAATTTCCTCTGAGAGGACTGTTTTTCTTTTTTCTTGTACCTAAAACTGACTGGTTTCCTTTAAGGTTTTAGTGGGAGATTGTGATGTTATGTAACAGATGTTTCTAAGACATTTCACAGGGGGCTAAGATTTACACTGGGGTTTTTCTGGGTTTTTTTTGTAAATTTCTTCAGGTCAGCAGTTGGTCCAGAAGGTTCTGCCGCAGCGGCCGGCAATAAGCGCTTGCAGCAGACGCAGGCCCAGGTGGATGAGGTATGAAATATGTGAAAACTGGCTTCTATTTAATTTCAGAATTTAATTTGAGGCTAACAGTTCTATTCTCTTATGGCTTATTGATAAGGATCCCCAAAATATGTTCAAATCTTAATTCATGAGTGCTTTAGTGTTACAAATGCACCAGATCGTTTCCTCTCAAGCTAAGAAATTTGAAACCACCTCTCCAAAGATGCCTGCCCTTAATGCTACTTCATCTCCAACTTCAGGTTCATTTCTCAGTTATATGGTTATATGGTTAATTAAATGCTTATGTACCAGTCCAGCTGTACACAAATAAAGGAGAAGATGCAAGTAGAGAAAGATTCAATCAACAATTTGTATTTATTTATTTTTAAATAATTGCATAGTAGCACAGCCGTAATCCAGGAGTGAATAGTTAAATAATGAAAAGATAGTGGGTGGAGTCACAGTGTCAAATAATAAAAAAATCTTTTCAAGCATTAAAAATCCTTAAATAACCTCATCTTGTTCACTTTGCATCATTTTTCTCACCTAGCCTATGGCCTTGAACTCCACCCCTGTCTGTCTCACTTGCTTTGTGTCACTCCCTCTTTTCCTTGATGTTGGTCTCACACAGAACCTTGCATAACTCTTGGCAGCAGTGTTACAATTCACCATAATGTGGAATAATTTGCTCTCTAATACTCCAAAAGACTGCCAAAGGACATTCAGTGAAAGGCAGTCCTCATCCAGTTTTGAGAAATAGCATTCAGAACCATGTCAGTGAGGCCACTAAGAAAATAGGCTGCCAAGTCTCACTCTTAATTCCCTTTACATCTTGCTCTCTCTCGCTCTCTCTCGGTTGTAGCCCTTCTTGGGATAAGCCACTCCCTCATAGATCTTTAACCTCAGCACGTCACAGAAAGTGTCCAATTGGCTGCCAAACGCTTACATAATCACTGTCTCCATGGTTATGTAAGGCATGCACGGGCCTACACCCTCCCCTCCAACCTGCAGCTCTGTCTGAGAGGAGGGGCAGTAGTTGGGTTTGTGGATCAGTGGAACATATGGGTTACGTGTAATCTGTGTTTATGCACATGCATGTGTGTCTGACTAAAAGTGGAGTCTGTAGGAGTTATTTTACCCTGTTGATTTATTTATTTGGCATTTTTCTTCTTTCTCTTATGATTCTTTCCTATGCCCTCCAGAGAAAAACAAATTAGGGCAGATTTATTTACAGTGAGGGCTCAAGATTGCCTAACACCCATGTACATCAAGAAACAGATTGCAAAAAATGAATATTATGTTTGTTTTGAGTAGGTGGTGGACATTATGCGTGTTAATGTGGACAAAGTGCTGGAGCGTGATCAGAAGCTGTCTGAACTGGATGACCGAGCCGATGCACTCCAGGCTGGAGCCTCCCAGTTTGAGACCAGTGCAGCTAAGCTGAAAAGGAAGTACTGGTGGAAGAACTGCAAGGTGCTTAAACAAAGTTTGGTTCAAAAGTCACACACTTTCCACCACTTTAAATAACAATTACTCTAACTGATATGATGCACTCTATTTTTAAAGTCTTCAAAGACTGAGGTTTACTAAATTAATTGTTTTTATTTAACTACACAACTTACAGTATATATTTGCATGACTTATGGTGAAGACTTCCTGTTTTTATTCAACAAAATGAGGAGGTATTACAGATATAGTTCTTGTGTAATAACGTAGAAATTATCTTTAATTGTTTCAGATGTGGGCGATCCTGATAGCTGTCATTGTGTTCATCATCGTCATCATTATTAGTGAGTATTAAGGATGTGCTCATCAACAGTGTTGTTACAGTTTGTGTTACTTCAAACATAAAACAAAGCATTAAGAACTCTCTACAGTGTTGTAGTTTCCCAAACTGTGTTAGGTGTACTGCTACATTGGTGCTCTTTTAAGAGGCAAACACACATCAACTGTTCAAGATCATGTGATGTGTCATTTGATGACTTATCTGATAAGAGTTATAAAGTTTACGGACTTTGCCCCCAAACATTCAAAAAGCTTTATTTACTTAAAGTTTTACATCTACTATCCATACTATTCCCCCATCATTATTCATGCTAGTTCATGTTATGGATGCAGTAAGCCAAGAAGAAGTACACCCAATTACATAATGCAGCCTCTGTCTTTTGCCTTTATGGAATTCCCCCCCACAGTTCCTTTAATGTCATATCTCTCTTTTTTTAATGTCTTATAAAAAACATTTGGTTTAAACAAACTTGTTAATTCATTCACAGTCTGGAATTACTCTAAGTAAGCAACAGGAGGAGGAGGGGTAGAAGATACGATAAAGAAGAGAAGTGGAGCTATGTGACTCGTGTCTCAGAGTAGCTCCACATTTTCCACCTCTACAGGGGTCTTCATTCTTTGTTCTGGATTGCCCTGTGTGCGCGTGTGTGATTGCTTATGTGCCTTAGTCACAGTTTTAACCTATAACATTACAAAATTCCAGACATTACTAGGATATATACATACCAAAGAAAACAAACATATGTACAGAAATGTGTTTATAACTTGACTAAAGCCCAGTTATAAATATGAGTCTAAACAGACTTTGGCAGAACACACACACACACACATACTCAAACCTTAAGACTAGAATTGAAGAACATTGTAAACTCTCCTCAACTTGTATTTTTATATTTTATTAACAATTGTTTGATTCCGTGTGCCAGGCTAAGAGAAGTGCCTTTAAGGATTAGCTGTTCAGTGGTATAGTTTAGATTGTAACAGTAATCCTGCATATGGTGGAAGAGATGCCCCTTCCCAGATTTAAAATATTTCTGCTCTTGATAGTGTAACACCAGTATTTTTTTTTCCTCTCTCATGCTTTTTCTTACTTAATTGGTCAGCTTTACAAATATTAGTGAAATCTAATTACTCATTTTATTTCTGCACATGGTTAAGTGCTGATCAGGTCCAATGTTTAAGGAGTTAATGTTAGATCTGAATGAAGAGGAAAGTCATTCTGACAACACAAAGCTTACTGGTAATGGGTAACGTACTGTTGAACCACCTCACTGTGTCCATTCCTGTTCATGTCATTTTCAGGCAGTAATTGGGATGCAGTAAAAGTTTGCATGAGCTTGTGTTTAGATTAAGTGCTGGTCATGTTTACTATAAGTAGCATCCTCATTGCCTGACAGATTTGCCATAAAATGTAAAAGGAAAAAAAAAAATACACAGAAGTGCCATCATGAGGTATCAAGAGATTAATTATCTCAATTAGTTGCTCTTAAGTGTGGCAGAAAAATGGCCTTTATGTAATAATAATGATCAACAATTAAGAGGAAAGAAAATCTGCAGTTTAGCTTTAGACTTTGATAGGTGTCTCCAATGGAGAACAGCCAAAAATGCAGCCATACCTTCTGAACACATGTACCAGCCAGCCAGAGAACAAGTAGTGCCTTGTGAGCTCCCTGTCCAGCAGATACTGTGCAGCTAGCCTGTGCTATCAGTTGAATTTAACCTTTAATAAAGACCTTTGGATCAACGCCAGTGTGAAGAAACATTCTTGTTGATGCACAATGCTTCTAACACAAAACAATTAAAAATTCTAACATGCCATATTTGTCATACAGTTATTTGCATTCTGTTAAATGTAGAGTTGATCATAGTTAGGCTATAGTATGGGTTTTTATTTTTTATTTTTATTTTTTTTTGTGATGTTTAGGTCAGTACTGCTGAGCATCATGGGTGATATAGAGTGGAAATATTTTGTTGGTCCATGGCATTGTGATACATGTGACACTAACACTGGATTTGGGATTGCTTTGTATATTATTTTCACTCTGTTTGGTATTTAAAGCTCCTGTTTTAGGTTACAGTTTCAGGATTTTTTTTT